CAACCCACTGCCACAGGGACTGCAGCCTATGCCGTCGCCAGCAACTCACGGCAGCCCAGCTCCAGGTTGAGCCGTTGTTCAGCATCTTAGCTGTAGAGGGCAGTGTCACTGGCCCTCACATGTGGGATCCGAACCGGGGCCCTCTGGCATCCCAAGCGAGCTCTTAACCATCGCGCCACTCGGCCGGCCCTTGACACCATTTTTAATATCCAAGACTGCTAATTGTTTTTTTTAATAAAAGATATTTCTTTTTTACAGGTATCTTATTCCCTCATTTCTCTGAATGTACTAGGCATACATATTTTAAAATCTCCTGTTTGCTGTATTGGCTTAGTTTTCTTCAGTGTTAACTTTTGTCCTTTCAGTTGGGGTGTTGGTTTTCCTCAGATGTTGTCTGAGAGTCCCTGCTGGCCTGACTATAAGTGCTCAGTTTACCTATACCCTTTATTGGTAACAGGATGGGATATGGTGTGGGGTGTGGATGCTAGGAGACAGTAATGATGTGGGATTCCCAACGTATCCTGGCTGCTGCCAGGCACCAAGGATACTTGACTGCCTTACTGGTTACACTGGCTGTGCCAGCCTGGGAGTGGACCCACCACTGCTGTCCAGTCCTCTGGGAATGAGGAGGGAGCCCCAGAACTCAGGTTATTCCTGGAGTTTTACATCTTTTTAAGCTGTCATCTTCAGCAGTTTCTGGACTATGGATCCAACTCTACGGTCATCCTATATTTCTTGAATTCCTCAAAATTTCACTGAGGGTGACCCTTCTCATTTTCTAGCAGTGATACCTGTTTATAGTCTTAAATGTCTTTTGTCACTTCTGTGGTTTTACTGTCAGGAGGCCTACCTCAGTATGTGTTCTGAGTGCCGTTTTTTTTTTTTTTTAAGATTTTATTGGGGAATTGGGGGAGGGGAACAGACAAATTGCTGACCTTTTGTTCTTCAGTCTAGTTGTGGAGGACGTCGCTTCACTGGCCCATGTTGGCATCATCATTGCGCTCCTCCCGGGTGAGGCAGATCGGTCGCTGGCCTCTGGACGGCCGCTCATGGCGGCTCTTGGCAGCTCACACTGGCTGCCAGCTGCTCACGCTGGCTACCGGCCACACAGTAGCTTATGGTAGCCCACTGCAGCAGGGGCTGCAGCCTACGCCGTCACCGGCAACTCACAGCAGCCCAGCTCCAGGTTGAGCTGTTGTTCACCATCTTAGGGCAGCATCACTGGCCCCCATGTGGGATCCGAACCGGGGCCCTGCTGCTTAGAGCTGGCGTCCCAAGCCATCTCTTAACCAACATGCCACTCGGCCAGCCCTCTGAGTGCCATTTTGATTCAGCTCAATTTTACACTATTAGTAATATTAGGTAGTGCTTTTATGTGGGGTGAGGGTGTCTGTAGAAGCTTTGGAAACAGATACTTGGGATTAAATCTCAGATCTAAAACATACCTGGTATTCTTAAGGCTCTTTTTGTAATGTCACTTATACTTGCTCACCTTTCTCATCTATTAAATGAGGAAAATAATGTTTATTACATATTCTATATATTAAATGAAACATTATGTAGTTTTTGCTTTGCTTTGTTTTCAGCCACAAAACGTTGTATCCAAGGGAGTTTGATGCCTGCCTGTTAAGTGTTCTGATGCTTGGACCTGAGGCCGTGGAGGTTTGGTGGCCCAGCTCTCCTGGGTGCTGTTTGCTGAGATGTGCAGAATTTCCAGTATGGAAGATGGGGCATCAGGTGTTTAACCTTTTATTGAACTCTTTAGTCAGAAGATTATATCAAATGGCCCTGAGAAAAGAAACCATGGGACGCAGATATATTGAAGTACTCCTCCCACAGAACTGAAGCACACGGGTGTTGAAGCACCATGACACAATATTGTACCAGTCAAGACAGCTCAGGTTGATACAGCCAGTTTTATAGGAAAATCCACTGATTTCAATCTAACCTTCTGTAGGGAACAGGTGTTATTACAGAAGTGGAAGCTATATAAACAATTTGCACCATGAACTTGTGAAATCAGAATTTTTTTTTTAAATTGGGGAATTGGGGGGATGGGAACAGTGCTGGGGAATTGGGGGAAGGGGAACAGACAGGTTGCTGTCGTTTTGTTCTTCAGTCTAGTTGTGGAGGATGTTGCCTCACTGGCCCAAGTTGGCACCATCATTGTGCTCTTCCCGGGCGAGGTAGATCAGTCGCCGGCTTCTGGATGTCCGTTCATTGCGGCTGCTGGCCGCTCACGCTGGCTGCTGGCTACACACGGTAGCTTATGGCAGCCCACTGCAACAGGGGCTGCAGCCCACGCAGTCGCCGGCGACTCACGGCACCCCAGCTCCAGGTTGAGCTGTTGTCAGCTTCTTAGCTGTGGAGGGCAGTGTCGCTGGCCCTCATATGTGGGATCCGAACCGGGACCCTCTGGCATCCCAAGCCAGTTCTTAACCATCGTGCCACTCGGCCGGCCTGAAATCAGAATTTAAAAAAAAAATTCCTTTTCAGTATTATGTAATACCTCAAAATGCCTCTTGCATTTTGAGCCTATTTCAATTTTTTACTGCAGTAGCGTACCTCAGAATTTGTGTATGTATATTAAAATAATTACGGTTATGTGAAATACAACTTTTTTTTGAAATACAACTTTTATTATTAATTTTTTCAAGTTAAGTAGATCAATTTATTTTTCTGTATATTTCACAAGTATAATTCTGGAAGGGCTATTTGACAAATTTCAGCATTAACTGCCAATTCTATATCGACATGTTCAACAAAAAAGGCATTTACTCTTGGCCCTTTTAATACAAGTGAAGTGTCCTATTGCATCACAAATGATATGTGGTAACAGATTTGAGGGCATATTAAAGAAATTAGATATTTTCTTTCAAATGCTGTTTAGTTGATACAAACACACATTAATAGTTGTCATGACCATCAGTGATCTCCAGAATAAAACCCACAGACCTACGTACTTAAACGGCTGAAACAAGCAAAATGGTATTAAAATCAGTGTATTTATTCTTTGTTTTTTAAAGATTTTTATTGGGGAATTGGGGAGATGGGAACAGCGCTGGGGAATTGGGGGAAGGGGAACAGACAAGTTGCTGTCGTTCTTTTGTTCTTCAGTCTAGTTGTGGAGGACGTTGCTTCACTGGCCCAAGTTGGCACCATCATTGTGCTCTTCCCGGGCGAGGCACATCAGTCGCCGGCTTCTGGACGGCCGCTCACTGCGGCTGCTGGCCGTTCACACTGGCTGCTTGTCGCCTTACAGCCGGTTCTTAGACCACCCCCCGTGCATTAGCCTCTGACCCATTAGTCGAGAGAGTGCCTCGGAAAACTGAGGCCGGATGGAATGATATCTGTAAAGCTCTCTCGGGGGGCGTCTCAGCCTGACTGGGACCTGATGGAATGATATCAGCTGTCTCCCCTGGGAGGACATGTAATTATGTCTTGGGGCAATGTGGTGGAGTATGAAGGCATAGCATTTGCTGGAGTACAATGGGAAAAGGTCACTGGAAAAGGCCTTAAGGCGCACCAGTATACAAGGTTAATGACTGACAGCACAGCAGTTTACTTCCTTGAAAAGAATCAATAAAAACCATGCGTTGACCCGATTGGGTGGCTCAGTCTATCTCTGAAGGCTGAGTCCCTTGGTCTCGCTCTTAAATCTTACTTTTGTCTCTTGTACTTATTCAATCTGCGCCGCCCCTCTCGTGTCCCATTTGCCCTTGCCACGCTGGACGTGACAGCTGCTGGCTACACATGGTAGCCCATGGCAACCCACTGCCACAGGGGCTGCAGCCTACGCAGTCGCTGGCGACTCACAGCAGCCCAGCTCCAGGTTGAGCTGTTGTTCAGCATCTTAGCTGTGGAGGGCAGTGTCACTGGCCCTCATATGTGGGATCCGAACCGGGGCCCTCTGGCGTCCCAAGCCAGTTCTTAACCATCGCGCCACTTGGCCGGCCCAGTGTATTTATTCTTAGATTAACAATCCCAGAAAGCAATTCCTTTTATCTCAGTTTTACAAGGTGTGGTGAGGGAAGACTGGCGGTGTATGCTGAGTTGCAGAGTTGGGACAGTGGCTCAAATTAGTGAAATACAACTTTTATACCATGCTGCTCTAAGTACATTCAATAGACATGCTTTCAAAAAAATTCAGTTAGATCCATAAAAGTTTTTTAATTTGATTTTTTACATTCTAATCTTTTTTTTTCACTTATAATCCTTTAAGATAAGGTTTTACAATATTAAATATGAAAATTTAAACAACACTAATATTATAGGATTTTGGTCTTTGTCATTACCGTAAAACCTTGGATTGCAAGTAACGTGGTTTGAGAGTATTCTGCAAGATGAGCAAACATTTCTAATACATTTTAACATGGTAAACGAGTGATGTCTTGCAAAATGAGTAGTTTGTTTCCGGAACGAATTATGCTCGCAAACCAAGGTATTACTGTATATGAAATTGTGAAGCCTTAATTTAAAGCTCTCTTTTTCCGTTCATTTTAGGTGTTTTGCTAAGTGAAACATTTACGTTTTTTTTTTAAACCAAATTAAAATAAATTTTTTTTCACAGACTCACAAAACTCAAGACACAGTCATACTTATGGTAAGATTGATTACAGCATAAGTATGCAAAGCAGAATCAGTAAAGGGAAAAAAAGGTGCACAAGGTGAAGTGCAGAGGAAACCAGACATAAGCTTCCCGATGTACTTAATTGCTGGCAGCAATAAATTACACCAACTTATGTGAAATGTTGTCTACCAGGGAAGCTCACTGAGGCTAGGAGTCCAGGTTCTTTCTTGGGGGTCAGTCATGGCGGCATACAGTTCCTGAATAATGAGAGTCACTGAAATTCCAGACTCCTTGGACAAAAGCAGGTGTTCAGCATACAGGTGTTTGTTAGTTTAGGTACAGTGAGCCACTCTTACCATTTAGGGAAAGTTTAATATGAGTGTAGGCAACTTTACCAGGCAAGTTCTCAGATGCCAGCCAAGCGTCAGCTTTGCAAGCAGGCCTTTCTGAGGATAGCAGGTTCTGGCCTGCTATGTTCACTCTTTTTCGCACAAAATATAAAAGGCATAACACACCAGCTGAATGACAGATTGACAGAATGGATTTTAAAAAGTGACTCAAGGGCCGGCCAAGTGGCGCGATGGTTAAGAGCTGGCTTGGGATGCCAGAGGGCCCCGGTTCGGATCCCACATATGAGGGCCAGTGACACTGTCCTCCACAGCTAAGATGCTGAACAACAGCTTGACCTGGAGCTGGGCTGCTGTGAGTTGCCAGCGACGGCGTAGGCT